GGAGAGTATTATCAAGAGAGGAGCCTTCAGGCCTCCCTGTTCTTCTACTGTGTGAGGCTTTGCAACAGAACGTCTTCAAAGCTAAGCTTGAGCTCACAGAAGTTTGTGCCACAATAAATACATTAGCCTTCATAGCCTTTTATTGCAATCTATGTGCTATTCAAATAAATGATAACACTTCCATTTACTTCAGATGGACTGGGAATGCACCCTAACATACCCATCCAAGTTGTATTTACTTATATGCTATTTACAATCACTTTTTATCATCTCTATTTCCATTCATCAAGATGCCACACAATACTCCTGAGCCCACTTGGACCCTGGTCGTAAACTCACTACATGAAAAAAGTCCATTTAAACAGAATGTGAATGGTTTCCAAGTTAAGTATCTTTAGGATTGAGGGGGCAGAAAATAATCTCACATTTAGTTACAGTTGCTCTCATTCAGAGATGTCATTTGCTTCTTGAGTTATCAACTGGGATTTTTTGCATATCCATAGCAAAGGATGTGTAGATATGCAGAAGAAACTACATGTTGTTGTTGTTGTTCAGTCGCACAGTCGAGTCCGACTCTTCGCGACCCCATGGACCAGGTCACGCCAGGCCCTCCTGTCTTCCGCCGTCCTCTGAAGTTGGGTCAACTTCATGTTCGTTGCATCTATGACACTGTCTAACCATCTCATCCTTTGCCGTCCTCGTCTTCTTTGACCTTCAATCTTTCCCAGCATCAGGGTCTTCTCCAGTGAGTGCTCCCTTCTCATTGGGTGGCCAAAGTATTTGAACTTCAGTTTCATTATCTGGCCTTCCAGGGAACAGTCAGGGTTGATTTCTTTTAGGATTGACTGATTTGATCTTCTTGCAGTCCAAGGGACTCTCAAGAGTCTTCTCCAGTACCAAACTACATGTAGTGGCCCCAAATAGTTTTTAAGATGTCATGTTGTACCTAGGTTGTAAAGCTTTAAAAGTTACTCTATTTTTGAATTGTCATCCTTTAAAAGGTAAAACCCCATGTACAAGTGATTTCAGGATTGTTATCCAAGTCATTGAAGAGCTTGATCTACCAAGCACCTGTATGTAGTTACCTTCCAATATAACAGCTAGCAGCTGGAAACTGTCAAGGAAATTGGTTGACAATTGGTAATCTACAGCTCAAATGTCAGTTTGACAGCAAAGGATCTCGACTTCATCTCAGATCAGCTACGTTAAGTAACTGATCATCCTGATTGGTTACTCAATTAGCAAGTGACAGCTGAGCTAGCATATAGGTGAGGAAGCCAGATTATATCATCAGGAAGGCATTATCACATGGTAACATCATGTTGGTGGATGTAGACTGGTGAAGAGCAGGTAAAGCTGGAAGAAGGACCTTCCCACTCTCCAGGACTTCCACTCTCTTGCATTGTTACTGCTGGGAAGACTGTTACTCAAGACATGTGCTTTGGAGCTGTAAGCTGCTTAGGGTCAGTATCTACAGGCTAGTTAGATAGGTTTATTGTTTTGTCTTTCTCCCATTGTACACTCTTTTCCCCTACTTGTATGTCTTTTTGTTTGTCTATTTTTTGTAAATAAATTTTCTAAATTCTGTTTTAAACATTGGAGTGAGTTACTAGTCCAGAATCCAAGTTCATTTTATTCCAGTGCTAAGTTTATGCTACCAAAAATATATTTTTCTATAGGGCATAATTAATTTCTATTTCTTTTTACAAAATCTCAGCCAGATGACATTGTTGGGGTACCCCGATGTTGTGACACTCTGTCTCAAGAATGCTTTGTTTAGTTGAGGTTTTTTAAAGTGTAGCTTAGTAATCACACACTAAGGCAGCAAACCTATGCAACATTGCTTCAAAGAAACTTTCTCAAAGTCTAAATTCCAAGAATAAATCTGAAAACACATCCTGCTGGGTAGTTTAGAAACACCACTATTTGAAAAATTTCCCAAAAAGTTAGATTCTGTTGGCGCAGTTTAATATAGGACAGTGAGATAGATAGGAGGAAGGCAACATGAGGTCAAGAATTGGCTTCTCGGCAATCCAGATTCTTTGCAGCTAGAAGATACAAGTTTGTTTACTAGAAAGAGGCAGAGAAATGTTTGGTGTGCTTGACTGAGAACATGCTAATATAAAGGCCATTGAGACAAAAAGGTCTACCAATAAGTTGTTTGTTCATCAGAGTCTCTCTTGGGGGCTGGCCTGACTCCACAAGCAACCCATGCAGTCCCTTTAGGGCAACATATCTAAGGGACCGCCTCTTCCTGTATACGCCTCGAAGAGCTTTATGCTCTAGTAATCAGCATCTCCTGGTGGTCCCTGGCCCAAAAGACGTCTGCCTAGCCTTGGCCAGGGCCTTTTCTGCCCTGGCCCCCACCTAGTGGAACATGCTCCCCATCGAGATCAGGGCCCTGCGGGCTCTTACTCAGTTCTGCAGGGCCTGCAAGATGGAGCTGTTCCACCAGGCTTTTGGTTGAGGCAGCGGGCGTCCACATATGGCCTCCCCGAGGTTGCTGTCTCCTACCTACTGGCTATCCATCTACCAGCAACCGGCCATATCCATCAGTATTAATGGGTTGGACTTTTCACCAGCAGCTATAACTACTGGTTTTAAATGTCTATAATGTTTTATTGTGTTTTAAACCTTACTGTATTATTTAAGATGATGTGACCCACCCTGAGCCCGCTCACAGGATGGGGGGGATACAAATACGAAAAACAAACATGATAGGGGTAACAATAAAGAAGTGGGTGATGATCCAAGCTGTGTGCCCTAAGATCTTCTGTGACACTATAGAGGCTGTTTGGAGTGACAATCGTCCGTGGGTTTGTCCTTCCAAATAGACATTTAATAATACTATACATTTCTATCCCTAACCGGGGACACAAGATGGAAATAAGGACGCTGGAAACAACAGGCATCGGTCACCTGCACACGTTTACTCAGAAGTAAATCTTCCTGAGCGCAATTAGACTTTTATACTGGCAAGTACTCCGGACAATTTTACTTTCATTGCTGTGTATTTCTGTGTATAACAAGAAAGCAAAGTATTGCAAAAGTTGGTGAATTAATTTCAGAGAGGAGGGGGGCCCCACCAGTGCGGCTGCCAAAGGAGGGAGGAAGTTTCCCGCAGCATCCTCCTCGCAACTCGGAAGGGGGGAAAAATAGACGGGACTGAGAAAGGGCGCCTGCCACCGCCACCCCCTTCACCCTTCGGAGCTGGGAGGGAAGGGGAGCAGCGGCGCCGGGCACGACAACCATCCTCGCCCGCCTCAAGCACTGCGGGGCCAAGAGGCCGCCTCCTTTCCTGCGTGGCCTTGGAGATGCCAACAGGTCTTGGTCGCTGCTGATCGGCAGTCGCAGGGACCCGGCGGATGGATGGATGGCCGGCCCCTCTCCCTCCTCCGCCCCCCCACCCCACTTACTGCTGCATTCGGGGTCGGCGCAGCGCTTGAACTCTGCAAAACGCCGGTCCAGCTCCTGGCGGGCCTGGCAGGAGGGCGGCCGGGCGCAAAGGAGCAGAGCGACCAGCGGGAGCGCCACTGAGAGACGCCGTGGCGGCGCAGCCATGTTTCGTTAGCAAGGCTGCCGGGCTGGCTGCTGGGTGGGAAGGGGGAGAAGACACGTCAGCAGAGCCGGGCTGGAAGAGGATACGGCGGGAGGAGGAGGAGGAGGAACCGCACCACACCCTGCGTGCTAGCCGCCGGCCGGGGACTGAGGCGCAGCCTCGCGCGCCAGCCTCCCTGGACGACGAAGGAAGCCTCACTTCGCCAGCTTCCAGAGGAGGGGAGGAGGTGCTTCGCCAGCCCCGCTTCAGATCTCTCCCTCCCTCCCCCCCGAGTCTGGCTCCTTCCCCCCGCCCCCTTTCTCTTCTGCTGTCTTGCAGCTCTCCCCCCACCCCCCCGCGGCACGTGCTTTTTTGACAGCCTCATGACAGGTAGAGAAAGTCGTCTGCGAAGTTTCACTTGTCAAACTTGCACCTGACTCACAACTGTGCAGCCTTTTGGTGCGAAGGCTGCAATCCTAGACACGGTTACTTGGACTACGCGTCGTTGGATGTGGCGCTCTTAGAATCATTCGTCTCCTCGATTTTCCTGTCCACGAAGGACAATCGAGCAGGCGAATGGTTACCGTGGTCCATCACCCAACGACGTGTGCGTGCGAAGGCTTTATTGATCTTGATGGGATTTACACCGGAACCCTGCTAGAGGGGTAAAAAGGGGAAAGATGAGCATATGAAGCTGCCTTATACTGAGCCAGGCCACTGCTCCATCTAGCTCAAGACTATGAGACTCAGACTGGCAGCCTTTCTCCGTGGTCTTTCCAACACCTGCCATCCGAGATCTTTTAAGGGGAGGTGGGCAGGGATGCAAGTTTTAAGGGTGCTCTGTTACTATATCCACTATAAGGCTTAGTCTGACTTTTTAGCTAAGGTATAGTGCTTGCCTAAGGCTACACTGTGCACCCATAGCTCTCAAATATGCTTGAAAAATTAGAGTCTATATAAGGACTGTATCCTCTTGGCTGTCTATACAGAGAGATGACAGAAATAAACATACTTCAGTGCCACATACCATTTTTAAGGGCCATCTAGGTGCACATTCTTTAACATAGAAGAGGTGATTCTTCTCTTGCACATTCAGTTGTTGAACTCCTGAGCTATCCAAGTTTTTCCTTTCCTGCCTTCACAAGTCTCATTACTTTCTTCTGCTCCACGCCCCCCCATTTGTCAGTTACTGACCTCTCATTCTGTTATGTCTCTCCTACATGACTTGCAAATCCACTGCATAGGTAACATCTGGACCAGTCCAATTTGTGACCCTTCTAGCCAAATGCACCCCATCAACCATATATTTTAGCCTGCAAAGTTTCTCACAACCTCCTTTGCCATTTCTGTAGGCTGAGGTGGGCCCTGGTGGGTTACATGTTACTTGGTAGACTGCAACAAGCCTGATACATTTTAGCCAAGAGATCTGATTGGTTAGCATCAGTTGAGCAGAGAAAGAGTTTTGAACTAGATGCTGAGGAAAGATGCAGTCTGATTTCAGCCCTAGCGGAGAAGAGTTGAGTACTGACAGTTTCTGAATTCTGCCCTGACTGAGAGCAGTTTAACATAGATGGAGAACTGCGGGAGGCTGGCAAGGACAAGTGGGTAGTTAGGCGAAGACTCCCATTCAGGCCAGAAAAGGTGATAGATCTTCTAGAGAGGGAAGAATTTCCCTGCCCAGTTAAAACAGGGAGATAGTTCTGAAGAGTGGAGAGATCCCTGGTCTGGTGTGGTCAATTAAAACTCAAGAAGAATACTGGTGTGTATAGAGAAGGGGTTTGGGTACTGGACAGAGTGTCCCAGCCTTCTGAAAATCAAGAGTTAGTGAATACTCAAAGAAAGTGTACTGGAGTGTTTGGGAAACACCAGAACAAAAGTCTCTCATCTTAAAGATCCTAAGTTACTGGTAAAAGCTTATGAAACTCTCAATAGCCTGAAACATATGAATTAAAGCCTGTGCATATACTATTTTACTTCAGAGTTCTATATTGAGTTACCTCAGAATTTTTACCCCTGATTTCACCTGACCTTTCTCCTCTTAGGTTGAATAAAATATTTTGTTAATTTGGAATTTCAAAACGCTTTGAGTACCGCTTAAGTCAAAGGGGTCTCTCATTCCTTTGCTCAGATTCCTGGCCTGAGCCAACAGCTAAAATAGCATGTTGTGACAGGGTGGGACAGCCAGAGTTCCTCAGGAAGAAGAAAACAGATACCTAGGGTGACTCAGTCAGAAAGAGAAAGAAAAACAAAAGGAAAATCTTGCCTCTGTAGGAGGGAAATGGATGGGGGCGTCATAGAGCCCCTGTAAAATCCTGAATTAAAAAAAACTGCAAAGCACACAGAGTTTCTTGTAAGAAGCATCAAAGAGTAATAATTAACTGCTCTGCATTCATGGTAAGATTGTGCAAGTCAGCTGTGCTCCTCTAGTTATTGGCATATTCTTATCTGAAATTGTTACCAGTAATCTTTGCTACTAACTGCATCAGAAGTGAGGCTGGTGTTCTTATCATATCCTCAGATAATTGATTTTTTCCTTGTCTATTCTCTTGTGTAGTCTCTCAGTATGATATCAGTGAGTCTAGCAGAACAATCAATGACCATTTTGTGGCTGCTGGAAAGCAGAAGCTTTTAACTTTTTTTTCTTTCATCCAGCAAAATGAATGTTTAAAGTGTCAAAATAATACAATGTGAGACAACTTAAAATGCTGATGCTGCACACCAATATCCTAGGGATTCATTTATTTCTGAGTAGTTTGCTTATGAAATATCCATCCTCTTACAATTTAGGCCTGTGACAAGTGGCAAGTCGCTTTCTAAGTGAGATCTACTTTGCAAGGTTATTCAGAAGAAGATCTCTTTGTTTCCAGGGTGCTAACCTGTCCAGATCTCAACCTTGGTTACACCCCAGATTCCAGAATTTCCCCCCTGAAAAATCAGGTGCGAAGGACTGAGTTCAGATTATAATCATGGCAAGGAGGGAGAATTAAGCCTCCCCCCATCACCCAAAATGGGGTTACGTTTTCTCTAGCAGTCACTCTTTCTCAGCCCAGACCAGGTAACATGTGTGTCTGGGTCATGTTTGCCATTCTGTCCAATATGTATAGAAATCATTCATATTAACTCATGTTTATTTATTTCATTAGATTTATATCCCACCCTGTCTGCTCAGCGGACTCAGCGCGGGTTCCATCAATATAATATACAGTAGTTAAAAACAGTTTAAAATACATCAAATAGATATAGTGCAATTTCTATATCCCATCAGAGGCTCAACAGATGTATCCTGTCACAATTGGGTTCTAGATGTTACTCAGATCTGATCCACTGAAGGGGAGGCCCCATAGATGGATAAAAAGGAGGACGCCCCCTAAACCTCAACTAAAAGCCTGGCAGAAGAGTTCTGTCTCACAGGCCCTGCGGAACTAAAACACTTTTAGAATTTTCTGGCACCCGGACCTCTCATGCTTAAGAGTGAAATCCTAAATGGAGTTACACCCTTCTACACCTGCTGCCTTCAGAAGACTTAGAAGGGTATATCTGTGCTTAGGATAACACTGTAACCAGCCTACAACTGCCTATACTATGAAATCCTCACAAGATCTGCTTCTGAGAGCCAAACCAAACATGAAGTGGGAGTTCCCAGTTAAGTTTTTAAAGCTTAATTTTCAGGTGCATGGGGGTCTTATTTGGATCATGTGCACAAGGAGGGGGTTGTTTTTAAGCCACCCTTCCCCGTGCCATTTACTTGCCCTGGCACCCTGGGCAAGTTTTTGGTTGGGACAATGATGGAGTAAGAGTCCTTAAAAACTCCCTGCACACCATAGTCCCAATCCAAATTCGGGCCCTTGCACTTGAAAATTAAGTTTAAAACCTTGTGAGAACATTGAACATCTACTGCACAGCTTGTTCGATTCTGAAGTCCCTGAAGCTCTTGCCTTGTTGCTGGCATGTATCATAAGTTCTGTTTTCTGTCATTAGGATGGATTCTCCATTGTGATCACCTTCCTCCACTGAATTCAGTTGAGCAGTCCAAGGGGGAACTGAAGCTCACTGCATGTTTTTGAGCTGAACTGCCTCTTAGAAGTGAGATCGATAACCAGAAATGGAGCTGCATGTTTGCAGTAGGGATGAAATTTGGCCCCTGTGCAGTTGTGGGATGATCTAAGTATGCAGAAAATGTTAATTTGTAAATTGAAAAGATACCCCCACACATACACCATAAGTGGCCTTATGAGCATGCTTGTAACATATCAGGAGCACAGAACATTGAAGGCAGCCAGTATGAATTAAAAGGGATAACCAGAGGGGGAAGTTGTCCAATCAAGTCCCTACCAGTTTATATTTTCCTGGTACAAACTAGGAGGGTGTGCTGGGAAATATGCACCTCCTGATCCTAATTCCCCTGCCTTGTCATTTCAGATTGGTATAAATTTTAAAGGCTTTGACCTATTCAATATTTCAAAAGTTGTCATAGGGGAGTTAATTAGGCAACATGTTTTCTCTGATGCTAATTAATTGCACTCAAGGGCTCTTTATGCTATAGAGGGGCATCTCTTCACAGTGCATCCTGCAGGAGATGAGCATCTTCCTGCTCACCTGCTGAGATTCAGAGCTAGGTTAGGAAGAAGCCAATCATCTGGTTCACCAGTGTTGCCAACTGTGCTATGGAAAACAGGGTTTCACTTACTAAATTTATATCCCATTGTCCATCATTAGATTCAAGGCAGCACACATTGGGTTTCTAGGAGACCTCCAATCCAGGCACTGGTCAGACCACGGTGTCCTTCTGACTTCTTTCCTGGTGCCCACCAAGTGTTTTTAGAAAGTGGGCAGGGCCAGATGGGGCTTTTGTCCAACAGAGCTTATGACTGAGCACTGGAGAGCTGATTGGATGTGCATGTGCATGTTAAAAAAAAATTGCTTTGGCAGCAGCTGCCACCAAAGCACAAGAATCCTCACTAAATGATTGAAGATGTGTGCAAGCAGGAAAATAATTTGAACAGTATGTTCATTTTAGAAGGTAAGCTGTGTATATGCAAAAAATTAAACAGTACGTTCATTTTAAAATGCACTGTGTTAAGCAGAGCTTCAGCTGAAATGCTGAAGGTTTACTATTAGAACAAAGTTTGAGTCCAGTGGCACCTCTAAGACAAACAAAGTTTTATTCGAGGTATAAGCTTTCATGTCCAAGCATACTTGTTCAGATACAGTGAAACAGAATTTCCTCA